ATTTTTTCACATAAAATTCATAAATAAATAAACAGTCCAAATTATAAACAATAAGTGAAATCCAATTTCAAAAGCAAACGGCGCAACGCACTGCCCTCAAACTAGTTGTATTTATTTCCCGACGACTTATTGGTTCCTCAAAACTCACTACACCTGTATCCTTCCTCCGTCCACGCAAACATAAACTTACTCCATCCAAGAAACCATGTCCACGTGGCTCCGTTCTTCTCCGCCGCCGTCCCCACTCCTCCCTTCCCGCACGTGCCCAACCACACTTCACCCTCCTCCTCCTCCTACCGCCACGTGGGCGTCACGAGCTGCACTCCAAATTTCAGTGAGCTTCTCCAGATTACTGACGCGCGTGACAGCGACGACTACCAGTGACGCACGTGAGTTGCAGCAAGGAATAGCTGAGTTCTACGACGAGTCGTCTAAGTTATGGGAAGATATATGGGGCCATCACATGCACCACGGATTTTACGATCCGGATTCCACTGTTTCGGTTTCGGATCACCGGGCCGCCCAGGTCCGGATGATCGAGGAGGCGCTCCGGTTCGCCGGCGTTTCGGGTCGGTTTCAGTTAATCTTCCTCTAAACTTTAGGGTTTAACAGATTTTGATGATTGATGTTATTATTACAGATAAGCATTAACAGTGGATATATTTTATGGTTAGTTTTTATTTGGTGAAGTGCTTTGGATAAGATATTTCGGAAGGACGTTTCGGTAGCAGATTTTTATATAAAACAGTTTTTATTTTTTATTTATTTTTTTGTAATTTAAACATTTTCATAAGTGTTTTTTAAGTACTTCTGTATAAGAATTTTTTCTTGAAAAATCAGATGCTAAGGTATTTATTTAAAAAATAAATCCGAAATTGAATATAAAAAGGTTAATTTTGTGTTCTCAATTTTTGAAATTGTTTCTGAGAAAAATTCTAGTGAAAATAGGATATATATATATGTATGTATTTTTTATGATATGAAATACTATAATTAACGTTTTCTAAGTTTGTTGTGTTTTTAATTTTTAAAATAGATATCTTAAATTTTTTTTAATTATACTTTTGATTTCTTTTTTTCTAATTAAAAAAAGAAAGTGTTAAACATCATTTTAAGATGACCTTCATAAGAATACTTATAGCCCGGGAGCATTAAATTTGGATTTCTATGAACAAGAATTTGAGATGCTGCAGGTTAAAGTTATTAGCTACTGGAGTTTTTCTTTGAAGATATAAAAGATTGTAAAAGTTGATTTGAATTGAAATGCAGAAGATCCAAGCGAATGGCCAAAGAGTGTAGTTGATGTTGGGTGCGGGATTGGGGGCAGTTCTAGATACTTAGCTAAGAAATATGGGGCTAATTGCAAAGGCATTACTCTTAGTCCTATTCAAGCTCAGAGAGGCAATGAACTTGCTGCTGCTCAAGGCTTAGCTGACAGGGTAACTATAACTTCCATTATTTTTCTTCATTCTATACATAAATTTCATGCTTGTGTTTGTGGATGTAACACTTGAAGAATTAGCAGGTTTTCTTTCAAGTTGCAGATGCTTTGGATCAACCTTTTCCTGATGGCCAATTTGATCTTGTTTGGTCCATGGAGAGTGGTGAACACATGCCTGATAAAACCAAGGTTTTGTTTCATATATTCTTTAGTCACACACAAAAAAAAAAACCTTTTGCGTTAGTAGATTGTCGTTGTCAATCCATTGTAAAAGGCTTTTGCCAATGGATATGCAACGGCATACGGTCGTCATAAACATGGACAGACCTATATACTCATTAGTGGGGGCTGGTGAGTGGTGACCCCATCAGAAACTTTTCTTCATTAATTTGGTTTGCTTTTTTGTTTTGACCAAGTTTTATTTATAATAATGTTTTCAAATTTGAACTTACTCATATACTTCTAATTTATAATATGTTAGTTTCTTGGATCTGTCCCTGATCGTAAAACGATGACCCCATAAATGTACATTTTTTTTTTTTTTAAGTTTGGTTTGTTGAAGTGAATAAGATAGTGGCATATTTTACTGAATTTTGTCCTTGTGTCTTTGAAACAAGCAGTTTGTGAATGAGTTGGCTAGAGTTGCATCACCAGGAGGTAAAATAATAATAGTGACATGGTGCCACAGGGATCTTGGGCCTTCTGAGGAGAGTTTGCAGCCATGGGAGGAAGAACTACTGAATAAGATATGTGATGCTTATTATCTTCCAGCCTGGTGTTCTACTGCTGATTATGTCAAGTTGTTAGAATCTCTTTCTCTCCAGGTAATCACAATTACTTCCTATTGTTTGCTTGGGCATTCTTCAAGAAAAAAGACGACCAAAAATCCTCTACTGAAATGAGTTTTTACTTGAATAAATAAACCCACATGAAAAATGATTGGTTTTCTCAAGATTCATGACTTAAATGATGCATCCTAATGATATTGTATTAAAAAAAAAAAAAAAAATGGAATTATGATGATTTGAGTGGCAGGATATAAAAGCAGAAGATTGGTCTCAGTATGTTGCCCCATTCTGGCCAGCTGTGATACGTTCAGCATTGACATGGAAGGGCCTTACTTCACTGTTGCGTAGTGGTAAAGTTTAACTTTGTTTTGCAGCAACTCTTATGATTCATTTCATTGTGATGCTTTAGAAATGATTCTAGTGATTGAATTGAATGGTCAGGATTAAAAACCATAAAAGGAGCATTGGCAATGCCGTTGATGATTGAAGGATACAAGAAGGATTTAATAAAGTTTGCAATTATCACATGTCGAAAGCCCGAGTAAGTGATGAAGGATGATGTCATATCATTGATAGGGGAATTTAAAATGTAACAACATTAATAAAAAGACCATATAGGAATTTCATAAATAGTTTTTCCAAACATATTTCTTTTACTATTATTATTTTCTCTATTTCTTTGAGGGATAATTTTTCAATTAATTTTTGAGTTATTGACATCAAAACAATTTGAATGTAGAATATGAAAATGCAATTAACCTCAAAGGGTTAGCTTAATAGTTAAAGAGGTTTGTTCTCATTTTTGAGTTACTAGGTTAAAACTTTGGAATCAGTTATCATAATTACATTGTGGTTTATTTGGTCTTTTAGGTTTGTAAGATATTCAATGGATTTCGAAAATTAATTGAGATGTGTGCAAGCTGGCCCGGATACCCCATATATATATAATGCATTTTGTTAATTTTAATGGCAAAACTTAGATGAAATTCCATTTGAGCAATTAATCATAAGACATAAAACTTACATCAAATTTCAATCGCTTAAATGTATTAATTCAAAGACAAAGAATATTATTAATTTTTTTGTAAAAATAAAATCAAGATATTAGGTGCATTTGGTTCAATATTTTTATTCATATTCTCAACCCGAGTTTGCAAATAACGTTTGGCTTATTATTCAGACAATGCAATCCTAAAAATAGAATCCTGACAGGTATCTTGACAGTTTATACACTGTTGAAATCAGTTTGCAATCTTGCTTTTATTTCACTTTCTCACTTTTCTTCACTGCTTCAGTGCTTCACCATTTCACTTTCTCAGTTTGGTTCACTGCTTCAATGCTTCACCACCGTCACAAACCATTTTGCTACCCTTCCAACAAATTCTTCTCCAACACAATCTTCCACATGCAAATACAAAACAAAACACATTGGCCAAACGACCAGCCACCTGAATCAGAAAACCACCCCACAGCACCACCCAATCAATCTGCCAACATCATCACAACAGAACCGCATGGCCACCACCAATCACCATCTTCCACCATCATCGCATTACCACCCCACTGCAACCACGCATCACCATCTGCCGCCATCATCACAACACACACCGACCGAAATCAAACCATCATCCACTACCACCATAATCACAAAACAACACCATCATCACAAACCATTCATGATGATCCACCGTCGTCAATCGTGACAAACCCACCATGAATACCCACCGACGTTGCAGATCTATCATTGTGAAGCCCCGACGTCGCCGATCGCCACAAACCCATGAACACCATGAAGGGAAAGATCTTACTTCCGTGAAGGGAACACCGTGAACGGGAAAGGTGTTTTTGATTTTTTTTTGGTTTGCAAGTTTGTAAATCTGTTGGACAAAAGATGTGCGCATGCATTTGTTTGCAAATCGAGTTTGTAAATCTGTTGATTTTTTTTGTTTTGCATGTTTGTAAATATGTTGTACCCGTGAATTTGTTTGATATTCAGGGAAGGGAAAGAGACCCGCGAAGTTTGAGAATCGAGTTTGTCAGCTTCCGTGGCGTGTTTGTTTTCAAGACACCCAACACAATTGTCTTGATTTTTATTTTAATTTTGGCTTTGTGTTAGTACTCTTTTTTTCCTTTTATTATTCCTTTTAATTTGGACTTTAATAATGCGTTTTATAATTGGTGAACTCAAAGTGATTTTTGGACATGAGAAACTTGGATCTAGTGGATTTGTTTGTGGGGTTTAACGGTTAGAGCATGTGCCACATTGCTTATAGTGTTTAGCACATGTGTCAAAATATTGTGCAGCTTCATATGTTCTGTATGTAATATGCTATATGTAATGGATAAATTTTGGAAGTAAAAAATTATTGGATTATTGGAAATATTTTTTTGGGATTTCAGTAACTGATATATTTGTTTTGTAGATTCGACATCGTTCTTTAATCGTAAGAACAAATTTCGCTCATATGCACAGATGTCAGTATAATTTGTCTCGATGTCGTAGGATTGATTACTACTTGCAGCAGAGGTGAAAGTTTCAACGTTTTTCCAGACTTGGAGTTCTTCATACACCATGTTGGTCGACATTGTCTGTATCTTCCCCTGCATTGACATCTTCAAGCAGTGTCGGATCGAACGAGGTATAAGTTTATCTGTGTTTACTTGATTACGTTTACATGTGTGTATGTCTGTTTGTAATGTGATTGGTGATTCGTCTGGTGTCCCAATGTTAGTTGTCATTCTCACCGTACTGTCCTTAGATGAGTGATACTATGACCTGGTCCACTGAGATGACCCACAAATTTCTGGTCCTGTTGTCTGAGCGGGCAAAAACTTTGCATGGTACTTCAATCAAAACAGCAGATTACCAGGAAATGTTGGAAGACTTATCATCAGTGGCTAGGAGGAGACTCAACGTCACACAACTAACCTCTAAGTACTTTCGCCTACGAAGAGTATATCAAGCATGGCGGAAATTGCTGCAACACACGGGATTCGGATGGGATCATGAGTTGCAAAGTCCAACGTGTCCCGTAGAGGTTTGGCAAGAATATGTCAAGGTAAATTTTCATCTTTTTCAACTAATATTGATCAATGACACCGTACTTGTACGCATTTTTTTTTTCAGACTACCAAATTTTAATATATTATTCTTTTGCATTACCAGCAAAACCCACTGGCGCAACAATTCTACCATAAGGGACTTCCTCAAAATGAGCTTTATGAAATCATATTTGAGAAGCAAACTACCACTGAGAGATATGCGTACACATCGACATCTCAACCGGTGGAGACCTCCACTTATTCCAATCAGGGCGTGGTTCCCATGGATGATAGCGACTTTGAACCTAATCTAAACCGGACGATAGGGGAAAAACGGCCAAACACATCTGGCCATGGAAGAGCGAGAAATAGGAGGAACATAAGCGACTTGGGACAATCACTTGCGGATGTCATTGGTAGATTGACGGATGAGCTTGTGGAGAAGCGGACTATAGGATCGAGGGCTAGCAATCGCATTGGAGATGAGACAGATGAAGAGAACACTAGTGGTCCATCTGATCCGTTTTCCATGAGCAATTGTATTGACATCATGATAGTCATGCAAGTACCCACAGAGTTTTACATGCCGGTTGTCAAGTACTTATATCAAAATCCAGGGTGGCGGGAGATATTCGTTAAACTCTCGCTCGAGGAAAAGGCTAATTGGATGTATAATGACTTTCGCAATTTGTAGATAACAATGTATGTCCTAAGTGTTTGCCAACACTTTTGTATGCGTCAATGGGCATTTGTCCTTTTATGGCTAAACCAAACTTCTGTTCAGCACCTTGATTTGAAAATGTCCCCAAATGTGTGCTACTGTATGAACTTATTAATTGTGCTACTATTTTATGTGAGATTACATGTTTTATGAGTTTTGGATTGTCATTAGAATTAAATATTGACTGTTATATTTTGCTAAGTAGTACAACAACTATTAATTGTTGATCAATGTTTTGCAAATGTGCAGGTGTAAATGGCGTCATCTAGCCGTACAAGAAGAAGACGACGTTCTAAAGATGACGAAGAAGAAATACTGACAAATATAGCCATTACACTCAGCGGTGCTGCCGTGTTAGAAATAACTGGGCGTCAACTACGACATACATCCATATTAACTGGTCATGAGTACATGTTGGAAGTACTCAATGGTCATGCTGACAGGATCTTTGACAAGTGCCGCATGGACAAAGACTGTTTTACATACTTATGTGAAATTTTGTCCAGCAAGGCAAATTGCAACCAACTAGGAAGACGAGTTTGAAAGAACAAGTTATGATATTTCTAACAATCGTTGGTAAAAATGAGACAATCAGATCGATGACGGAGGATTTCCAACATTCATGTGAGACGATCTCTAGGTATGTTGGTGCAATTTGCGAAGCGATATGTGAGTTGAAGACAGAGTTTATCAGACCGCCTGACTTCAGTGATATTCCATGGGAAATATCAGCAAACCGAAAATATTATCCTTTCTTTAAGGTACTGGTTCATTATGTTTTCTATTAGTGGATAGTTAAGATCATTGTGTTATTAATGTTGATAGTCAGTTAATATGAGTAAAATTCAATTTTGATGATAGGACTATATTGGAGCCATTGATGGCACACATGTATATGCTTCGGTTCCACATGAATTTAGCGATAGGTACTAGAATCGCAAAGGAATGTTGTCATAGAATGTAATGGCTGTATGCGACTTTAAGATGATGTTCACTTATGTCGTTACTGGATGGGAAGGATCTGCGCATAATTCAAGAGTTTTAAATTCAATTCTTGATGATCCTAATTATAGATTTCCACATTCTCCACCAGAGATAAGTATTTTCTTGACTTATTATAGCATATTTGCTCCATTGTTGAGGCCCTATAATTCAAATAACATTCTGATTTTATTACAGGGAAATACTATTTGGTTGATGCGGGTTATCCAAATAGAGAGGGGTTCCTCGCCCCTCATAGGCGAGTGGCTTACCATATTTCTGATTATCGCCGTAACCGAAGGGGGCCACAAGAGTTGTTTTAACTACAGACATGCTTCACTCTGCAATGTTGTCGAGAGAACCTTTGATGTTTTGAAAAGACGGTTATGTATTACGAATAGAATGAGCAATTACCCGTTGGACAAACTAGGGAAGATTGTTATGGCATGTTGTGTACTTCATAATTTTATCAGAATGTACAATATAGAGGACCCTATCTTCGAACAGTATACTGAAAATACGGGTAATAAACAAGTATATTGTGATCGCCAAAACGGGGCAGAAGATGGTCGAAATGGAGAAGGACCGAGTCAACCGCAACAAGGTATTATAGACAATATGACGACTGTACGGGATAACATAACGACTGCACTGTGGGCAGCACAGTGAACCATGTCGTAGTTGTTAATGGAGTATACGTGTAAGAACGATTATAAGGGTTGATAATTAGTACTTTTGTCATATATGTATTAATGTGATGATTTTAAACAGTTGGATTAGTACTTGAAATTAATATGAGTTTTTGTTTTTTAATATTTACTGGTTACAAAATTACCAATAAAATGTTTAATATTATTAAAATGTAAATTGATAAGTTTTAAGGTTATAATAATACATTATTTTAACAAAATACACCAAAATATTATATTAATAAATTATTTATAAAAAAATATATCAATCAAATATTCAACACAAATAATAAGGTCAAAATACTCTACCCAACACATATTCTTCAAATCATATTCTCGTAATAATAACCCTACTCAACTATTTAATATTATTCCCAAAATCTCTCTAAAATAAAAAACAAACGGATCCACTATTATTAATTATATTATTATTAAACGATTACAATTATAATTGGCGAGAATAATTTTAGGAAAAAATTCACTGGATAAGATATTTATTAGTACTTTTACAAATATATTTATATTAATTATAATTATAAATAGAACTATAGTATAATATCTATGTAAATAATAAAAAGTTAGCCGAACTTAGATAATTAGTCCTATGGCTCTTCAGGAAATTCCTTATCTCAATCATTTTGGATAAACAAAAAGATCAGGATTGATTATGTCGTACAATCCTAAATATATTCTTCCCACCCAAATTTGCTCTATAACAAGTCATACCTGAAAAATTTCAGAACTACAATTTCCCGCCCACAGGCTTGATTTGTTAGTAAAAGTGTATTCACTATAAAGACGAAAATACCATTTATTATTTGATTTATTTTTTATTTATAAAATTTGACTGCATTGACCAATGAAATATCCTTTTTAACTTTATTAATATTATCTAATAATAAATTTTAAAAATAATCTTCAATATTCATCATTAATTTAAATTAATCCATAACCCATCATTATTAAAACAACTTCAATTAATAAAAAATTAGTATCAAATTATAAAAAAAGTTAAACTTAATGTTTATTGCAACAAAATTTAAAGAAGTCTTTCAAAACAGATTTCACAAAATCTTACAAAAAGATTGTACAAAATTTGCATCTTAAAGAGATGAAGCGAAAGTTGCAGATGGAGAAATTTGGTAAAATCGGAATAACAGTGCTAAGGGATGCTCATGAACTATTCGAGTGAATGACTACTGCAACCTTTCATTCAACCAAGATTGCGGAAACTAGCAACTCCCATTAATTCAAACTCTAACCCAAATTCATCCAGATTCGCCCAAAAAATCACCTCCCATTAATTCAAACACAATTGAAATTCATCCCCCATCTAACACCACATTCAAATTCATCCTCCATCTAAACTCCATAATCAAATTTATCTTACCGTCTCAACTAAACAATCACCTCAACCAATTGCTCCCCCATCCCTCATTTTTCCACCACTCTCGGACAAAACCGAAGACAAAATCACAATTATTACCACGTAGCCACCAATTCAACAAAACTAACATATATCAAAACAATATACCGAACATGTACTTCGTATTTTGTTGAATCGTTTGAGATCATTTGCTTTCGACAACTCGGCGGAATGGCTTGGCATGGAGAGGATCCCGAGAGCAGCAGAACCAAAATCACAAACGTCACATATCAACTTTTTATTATATTATCAAATTTACCAAATAAAGAAAACACATGAAAATTTGAAAATTTGAAAAAAATGAAAAAATTGAATTTATTTGGTTGGAATCATGCCGGCTAGTGCAATTTGGACGAGGGGGAGATGAAGAAGATGAAGAGGGGATGAGGCGAGATGAAGAAGATCGGAGTAGGGTTTATTTATTTATTTATATATAGGGGTAAAGTGGCATAATTATTTTTTACCTGATTTTGAATTTACCATTTATCCTTCTCTTTTTACCTTCTCTAGTTAAACTTAACGGACAGAAACTAATGGTAAGTGAATAATTGTCGTTTTGAAACTTTTTAGGTAGTCATTTTATTAGGGCAAACTTTGGGTGGAAAAATATGATGCACCCCCATATGCACCCAAACATGGGATTTGGTTATTTTTTTCAAATAGTCCAATCCTCATAGTGGGTTATTTCATAGTAATACTATATGTATAAATAAATCTTATAAAGATTTTTATATAAGTACATGACAAAAAATGAATGGAAGAGTGAATATGATAAATTTGACTTTTTATATTCATTATTTCATTCATTTTCTATCACATCACTTTGTGTAAAAATCTTTTTAAGATTTCTTTCTATATCTAGTATTATTTTAATTTCACTCACCACATGCGAGGGCCGAGGCACTATTGAATTCTCTAGCGGCTGATCGTTGTTTTACTATTTTGCTCTTTTAGCTTAATTAGTTGTTAGTCATACTTAACAAAGAACAAACAAGCCTGAACTATTAAACGACCACGCTCCCCAACAAAGTTAAGAAATTACATTTTATGTTGGCTTAAATTTTAAATTATGATTGTTTTAGCTTAAAAAAACTGGCTTATATGTGACCTTTTTTTTAAAGTAAAATTAAATAGAATATTCTTTTTATTTTTATATTGTTTAAATCATCAATAAATTTTGATCAAACAAACCATAAGCTAATAGTAAAGAGTGAAATGAGGTTTTATGAGTTTTTGAGCTTGAGCCTCTCTCGATACTAATATGGGTGTCATTGGGACTTTTATCAGTTGACAATTCCAGACCGAAAGGTTAGTTGAAATGCGTGTAAACTGGTCTAGACACCCCATAATAATAATAAAAAAATGTCAAACTAATTACATTCTTTATTCATAGGTGTATATGAAAAATAAAACAGAAAAGGAATGATATTATTTATTTATAGAAAAAATGGTTTGTTTAAAAATTTTAAAAATTAAAGAAAAAGGAATTATTATTTGATTATTTTATTTATAAAATTGAAAGAATAATTATGTTAATTAATTAATATTTATTTACAAAATCAAAGTATAAAAGAATAAAAATAAAAATTATTTTTATTTTTATTTATAGAAAATTACATGTCCTTAATTTTTTACTTGTAAAAAATGAAAATAAAAACGAATGGTTATTTAAATTTTTTCATGAATCAAAGAAGAACAATATATATTATTTCTAAAACATTTAAATAAGACAACAAAGGTAATTAAACTTTTTATTGAAAAGTCTCATCTACTAGACTAATGTTCATCTCTCAAAGTATATACTTAAAACTAAAGAAATTTTGTTTTTCTTTGTTGGGGGGTGGGGTGGGGAACGAAAGAATCAACGAAAGGAGGAA